GCAAACATAATTTATTTCTATGAATTACAACATTTAATTTTAATATGATACGATATATATTATGATATCATTTTGATTTTAAATATGCCAAAATTTAGAACTAACAATTTTTTTTAAAATATAATTAGTAATAGCTGCAAATGAAAATAATTTTTATTTGCCATAACTTGACCATAACGATTTCTGAAAAACGTGCTCCCCTCCCCCCTCCTACTTCGAAACCCGTGTTGTCTGTAATATGACTCATACCCAACCCGTTGGGGTAACAGGTATAACGGGTCTGGGTCTGGTGGGTTTTGGGTCCATAATAACAAAACGAGCCGGGTCTAGACTTGATCCAATAACAGGCCTAGGCATTTTAAAATCGTATTGTTGAGCGTGTCGCTTTTCGTATTGTTGAGCGTGCCGCTTTTTTAAACTTTATTCAAAATTTGAATAAAGTTTAAAAAAGCTTTTTTAAACTTTATTCAAAATTTGAATAAAGTTTAAAAAAGCTTTTTTAAACTTTATTCAAAATTTGAACGTTGAAGTATTTTTGTATTTTTTATCACATTTGCCCAGACCAGCGACCCTGACATACGACCCAAACCCTACCCTTCAGCAGCCTTAGTGGCAATCTATATCTTTGACTGTAAAAACAAAAAACAATCTGTTATTTTTTTTATGTGGTTCTACTTTAGAGCCTTTATTTAAATCTGATCAGAAATAGTTGAAAAGTAATTAAATAGAGATTTATACCTTATGCATCGTATTTTTTTTGAGTCTATAATAAGTAGAAGATAAATGCATACTTTCCTACTTCTATTTCATTGAACATTTTGTCTTATAAAAAAAAAATACTCATACTTACAAAAAATAACTCAAAGTGCACGTGGCAAATTTAAATGAAATTATTGCCAAATATCAGATTATAACACGTAATTGCCGAATGTTTGTTAAACAAATGACGGTTTCTTATATGGTCCTGACCTTCAGGAACTTATAAAAATAATAGATTCTTTTATTGCCTGAATTATAAATTTAGGCCAACATTTGCAAATAAATTATTTACTTAATATTTATCTAAAGATAAATAATTTCTAAGAATAGTTTCAAAAAAATAATTTGTCTGATTTCCTATAGAAATTCTTATATGCATAATTTCTTTGCAGCCGTTGCAAACTGTTTGCAGCTGCTTAAAGTTTTAAAATTTTAAAAAAATAACGCGGTAGGTTCAAACGAAATTAATGGTAACACTATTTAACGAAATAAATGGTAATACTATTTAAAATAAGTTTTGAAAAATAAAAAAAAATTTCAAAATTTATATTAATTTTTGCCTGGGCTTTAATTTAACGATTAAGATATTAAAATCCATTAACGAAACTCCATAATAATCATTGTTGACGATAAACGCAACGTAAACTTGAGCCAAAACCTTTCTATCAAAAATATTACAAGTTCCACTGCTTGTTGTACACGATTTTTTTTGTATAAGCAACTTAGAATTTTGGTCAGAACTCGAGTTGCTTATTTTTCAGCCAATTTCAATCTCGAGTTGCTTAATGGTTGCTTAAGTTTCTTAGCCTAAATTTCAGCATTTTTACGAATAACCAAACCAAAGTTGAACAAATAAAGTAAAACCAAAGTTGAACAAATTTGTCTGCTTTCTCTTACTCATGATTTTAACAGCGTTGTCAACAACATACACAATAACAACAACACCACTGTGATTACTTTCTTTTGAAATCGTATTTCTAAAAGAAGTCATTACATTGCAGAGAAAAAAATTGCAATTTATAAGTTGCTTATGTTAACATTTGTTCAGAACTGAAGTTGCCTAATATTTTTTCACATGGACTTCAGTTGCTTATAAACGAGTTGCTTATACAAGAAAAAAAAAAAAAATAAAGGTCCTCGTTTTCCAAAATTTGCTATCGAAAGGGTCCACATTTGCCGACTAACTAGGTCCAATTTGCCGACTAAGGGACTAGTTTGCCGACTAAAAATCATTGATGGGGGGTGTCACCCCCATCAATGATTTTTAGTCGGCACACTGGATCCCTTAGTCACTCAGACACACTGGACCCCCACACCCCCCTATCGCGCCGGCCTTGGTACTATTGCATACTTCGTACTGTACTATTTCATAAGTAATATTATCACATATTTCAATATATTAAAATTACAAAAATACTTACTGGTAAAAAGTGCAGCAGGATTACCTTTTCAATCTGTAACTACTTGCACAATTTTTTTATTTATGTCAATGCCATTATGATGTAAATTTGCATTTTCAGATAATACATAAAAAGTAAAGTTGCATTTTCAAATGAAAATTATATTTTTAATTATACTTTTCATAAAAATATCATTCTGTTTAGAGTTTTTCAAATAATGCAAGCAAGTGCGTTTGTTTTATAGCAGTTTTATCACAAAATGCTGCGGTTAAAATTATAAGCAAAGGTTTTTTTACTTTTCCAACAGTCAGAAAATGTATAAATTGACTATGGTACTTTATAAAAATGAAAACAGAAGGTGAAAACGGTTTTCACAATACTTTGAAATGACACCTCTTGGTAGTTTGTTATTGTCAAAATATTTTGCAAATTTTTTGGATCATCTTTGGCATCTTTAATTCTCATCTTATTCAAGCTATAATTATTACCAATTTAAAGTTTCCAAAGACTTTAATCCCTACGGGCATTTGTTTTTAAAAGTTACGTTCTAAATGTCTTTTAAACGTTTTTTAAACGTCTTTTAAACGTTCTTTACGTAAGAATGTTTAAAAGACGTTTAAAAGACATTTAGAACGTAACTTTTGAAAACAAATGCCCGTAGGGATGTTGAAGAACATTAAAAAGCAATTGTGTCGAAAGGGTGCAAGTGGCAATTTTTCTCACCAATGCTTCTTATAGTAAGATGGTTAACTCTATACAACATTGCGTTTGATATCTTTAAAGGGTTCCAAGTGGAAGTTGGAATAAATTTGAAAAAAGTAAATAAAAATTATATATATATTATAAATAAATATTATATATATAATATTATATATATAATATAAGTAAATAAATATTATATATATAAAAATTATATATATATATATATATATATATATATATATATATATATATATATATATATATATATATATATATATATATATATATATATATATATATTTATATTATAAAATTGATAAGTGATTTTAACTGATTTATTATTGCTCTGTTCTTTTATAAGCGTTGAACCTGAACGCTGAAATTTTCGCGTAAAGTTCAAGCGTTCAAACTTGAACAAGTTCAAACTAGCTACACCCTATTTACACCCAAAATATCTACACCGTAAATATATTCTGAAATTAATAGTTCCCAAAAGAGTTAATGGTGAGCCCTTAAGTTAATGTTTGAACCTATTTAAGAAGCGCTTTGAATTGTTAATTCAAAGCGCTTCTTAAATAAGTTTATTTTTTTGAGTAAAGCAAATATTTTCTTGTACCATTCATAAACGTTTTTCCATGGTGCTTAAATTTATGTCTCATTCAGTATCAATCTATAAAAATTGATATATGATGATAACTTCCTCAGTCAGTTTTGTACTTAACAGTCATTATTTGTAAGATCTTTGCAATAATTTTGTGCTTAAGAAAAGACAGGTGACTAAGAGACATACCCAGCAAACACAAGACAGGTGACTAAGCAATATAAGAAAAATGCAAAATAAACCCAAACTAGATTACCTATTACCTCAAATTGCTCCCTTCATAGAATTACTTGTTCTTAAACTATACTTTTTGTTTAAGCTTTTCTAAACTAAATCGTAATACATAAAGAAATTTCAAACTTCTAAAAAATTTTCTTTGGGTTAACATTTCAACAGCTCTCGGTTAGCGGATAGTCACAGGTCGTATTTACAGTAGGTAAATAATAGTAATTTTTACTTAGGTAGATAGAGGTAGAATGCAGAGGTTTTTTAGAAGTTTAAGCGATAAGAATCTTTCTAATTTAATTTTATTTTGGGAAATGTTATTTTAACAGTATTAGTTTTATTTAGTCTTTTGTTACTCTGACGTTTTATTTTTTATATACTTGTCAAATTGAAAATTCTTTGTAAACTAACTTTCACAGTAGATGCATATAAATAACTGCGTCGAATAAACAACTGTGTTTACTTAAAATTAAAAATTGTTTTTAACTGTTTAAGCAGAGCGTGTGTAATATAATGAACTATAGATGGAGAAAGAGTCTCAGAGCAATTTTACTGTCTTGTCTAGACTATTAAAATGATCTATAGTAAAGTGGAAAATAAAATCGTGTTGAGAACAGTTTAAAAAAAGAGACAAATTAAATAATGTCACAAACTTATTTAAGAAAGATTAATTATATAATAAAAAAAAATGATGATATTGACCTTAAGTAATTCATGATTGGCCGTAAGAACGTGAAGGGCTGCAAATCCTTTATGACCTTATGAGGAGTATTTTGAGTATCCATAAAATTACCACACATTTATTTACCAATTATATATATATATATATATATATATATATATATATATATATATATATATATATATATATATATATATATATATATATATATATATATATATATATATATATATATATATATATATATATATATATAAATTATGCATTATATTTTATATAACTTTGAATGTGGAAAGAGGATCAGTTTTTATAAGGAGCTTTATTGTTAAAAACAGCAAAATAAATAGATAATCATTTTGTAGTATAGAATTGACTGTTTACGACTGAGCTGTTATTCTCAGCCAGCCAGACTTTTTTGTACATTTTTAAGTTTTCTACGATTATTATTTTAAATTAGTCTTTGCTGAAAATAACAGTTTTTATATGCAAAGTGTTATTTTCAGCAAACATATATATATAAATATATATATATATATATATATATATATATATATATATATATATATGTATATATATATATATATATATATATATATATATATATATATATATATATATATTCAAGATAATATTTTAGCGTGTATATACTCAAGATATTATTTTAGTGACAATATTTTAAATAAAAGGTATGGGTCTTCGGTTGCAGTTAGTATCATTTTTTAATGCCAATTTGGGAGCAATCTTTTTATTAGTGGCTGTTTTTACCAATCACTGGGCAGGCCGAGAAAACGCGAATATTCATACTTATGAGAACTTAAGCACAAAATGCAGTATTCACAAACATGACAACAAAGCCAGAGTTGCTTGCAAACTTATTGAAACAACATTCGGACATTGGAAGGGTAAGAAGTTTTTTTGGTGTTTAGAAATTTGTCACTAACTAATTACTTTCAAAATTAAAGAAGCTTTTTTTGTTTCCAAGATTTGTTATACTGTTTGAATTAAGAACGAAACAGTATTTTGTATATTTAATTTAAACCAGGCGTTATTTACAGTTTATTTAGAACAACGCATATTTCAAGTTTTATTAAATATTTTCTTAAGATATCTGATTTCAAAAAATTGTTTAATGATTGTTTATCAATACAAAATGTAAACTGTTTGTGCTAAACGTAAATTTTAACGCGAAGTTCATACTTTAATACTTTATATTAATATTTAGTATTAAAACGTTTTAAACTTTAATCAATTTTATTTAGCAATTAACAATGAATATATTTTTATGTGTGTATAATTTATTTCGACGTTAAAAAATGTTTACATCGCATATACATATATCGAAATTAATGGCTGGAGCAAGGAGAAGGCACGTTTTGCCTTATCGCCGAGCTCCATATATATATAAAAAAATCTACATAACTGTAACATACAAATATATATAAAGTCATAAATCAGAATTAAAACAGAAAATAACTAAGAAATTATAGAAATTCAAAATAACAAGTAATTTAGAAGTGTTAAAATGCTTACAACCGCTAAAATGTATAAGAACACTTAAACAAAAATTATTGAATAAAAAAATAATTTAAAATTTCATAATTAACATAATCATTAGATGAATTTTTAACATCATCACTTAAATTTCATTGATAAAAATAAATCTGTTTTGAGCTTACATTAAAAGAAACATTTAAAGTCGGATAAATTAAGGTCTCTGAACAGTAATAACCGTTTTGAATCATTTTTAAATTGCTCTAATGTAGTCTTGTTTTTGTTGACAATATCTGGGAATTTTTTCCACAGATAAGGTCCGCGATGTTTAATTGAGTAGGAGGTTAATTTTAAATTATATTTGAGAAGAACAAAGTTGTTGTCTGAAAACTTTGTTGAATACTTATGATTAATTTTATTAAAATAAGTTTGAAAGATTTTTGAGAACAATCTCATTTTAAACATAAACAATAAACCTTGGTGTAAATTGAGTTTATACACATTTAAAGCATCGAGCAAACACAAAAGTGGTTCGCTAGGAGTATTTCTGTAGACTCCAAACACTATTCTGCACGCAAGTTTTTGTTTATTGTAGGTTTTCATAAGTTTTGTATAGCCAGTTTTTATAAGTTTTGTATAGCCCACACAATATTACAGACAAATAACTGTGAATAAAGGCAAAATATAATCTTTTCAGAGATGTTACATTTAGAAAAGGTTTAGCCTTAAATACATTGCCATATTTTTTGAGAGTGTCGTTTCAATACTATTTATATGTGAATACCACAGTAAATTTTCATGCAGTTTTATTCCTAAAAAGTTTACGTATGTTTCCCTTTTTATATGAGTGTTATCAATTATAAGATTTGGTAATTTAAGAGGAATGTTTTCTGATTTATTTAGTTTATGGAAAATTATATATTTAGCCTTATCCACATTTAGTGAAAGTTTGCTACTTACAAACCATTCATTAACTTTATAAACTGTTAACATTCATTAACTATTTATATAACATTAACTATTTTTAAAAGTTTTTAAATATCTATGTGACAACAAAAAAGATTAGAATTATCAGCAAACAAAATTAGGTGTAAAAGATTTGTTGCTAACTATAAGTTGTTCATGTACAATAGAAATAAGAGTGGTCCTAAAATAGAGCAGCAAGTTATGGAATATGAAATTGTGTTATTTTGATCATAGTATAAAAAATGCTTTTGGTTTGTCAAATACCCTTTGAACCAATGTAAGTTTTTATTTTTCACTCCGTAGTTTTCAAGTTTTTTTATTAGTGATTTACTGTATCAAAAGCTTTCGACAGATCAATGAAAACTCGTAATGCAAAACAGTCATTACTAAAGGCGTTAGATATTTAATTGGAAAGATCAACTAATCTATGCTCAGTGGAACTTTTTTTATATAAACTGAAGTGCTTGCAATACAACATGTCGTTCTCGATTAGATGATTGTACAGCCTATAATACATTACGCTTTCCAGCAATTTTGAAAACCAAGGTAATATAGATATATGCCTGTAATTTAAAATATTTGATTTATCTCCAGATATAAAAATTAGTATTACACGGGCAATTTTTAGTTTGTCAGGAAAAATACCAGTCTTAATTGAAAGATCAAAAACATGAAATAGAGAAGGTTCAATAATGTCAAATACTGATTTCACAATATCAACACTAATTTTATCAAGACCTAAACATTTTTTACTTTTGAGACTGTTAAATGCTGCTCTCAGCTCGCTATGTTTTAAACTAGTTTCGTCCATAAGTTTATCATAAGTTTTTAAATATGAATCAAAAGGAGTAGAGTTAGGTGGAGTTTTAGCATCCAATTTTGGACTAATATTAACAAAGTAGTTGTTTAGTTCTTCAGCTATAATTGATTTATCGTAAACTAATTTTCAATTATTTAAAAGATTTTTGGCAGAGTGTTTTTTTATAATTAATTTTTCCAATTAAATCCTTAATAATATTCCAGACTTTTTTAGTGTTTTTTGTTTAGTGGTCTTTTTTAATAACTGAGCATACCCAGTGGGCATTTCGACGTCGAACGAACATCGAGCGACGTCGGATCTCGACGTCGGATCGACGTTGGGTTTACGTTGGAAATGGAAATGTTATTTGACGTCGGATAAACTGACATCGCGCGACGTCGGCATTCCGATGTAAATCCAACGTGTTTTTTGAAAACTAAAAAACATTGCCATTAGCAGGAATCGAACCTGGGTCTATAAAACACTAAACCCTACGCGCTTACCACTACACCACAGAAACAAATTAAATTAAGTGTTTATTTAGTAATCTATACTTGTAGCTATTTGGGAATTATTACTTTGATAAGAAATAATTTTGTTTAAATATTATATAAATATTAAAACGAATAGTTATATATTATAAAAAATGTATACTCGAAAATGTTAATAGTTAAAAAACTATGCTGGTGCATCATACAAAACCTCATGATGTTTTATCAACCATTATTCAAACTTTTTTCCATTAATAAAAAAACACGCTTAGTTCACATAATTATTGAAGAGCGCAATTGCACACATATTGTTGGGTTTGGATTAAATTTTCATCAGCGATGTCTTACGACGTTGTTCCGACGTCGTTTTAAGGACGTTGGATTGACGTCGGAAGACGTCAAAAGACATCGGAGTACGTTAATATTATGACGTTGCCCGACGCCTTTTTATCGACGTTGGATCGATGTCAGTACTGCGACGTTTTTTGGACGTCTTTTATAAGGTGTCGAAACAACGTCAAAATACATCGAAACGACGTCAGGGGATGTTGAGATAAAGACATCGCCCGACGTCATTTTACTGACATCGGAACAACGTCGGAATAGGTCTTTTGACATCGCTGATGAAAATCGTACGTAAATCCGACGTCGGATTGACGTCGGGTGCCCACTGGGTAATAAAGCTTTTTTGAGTATCTTTTTATTTTTTTGAATATATTTTTGTAATTTTTATAATTTATTTCATTTTTATAAAAATTTTTTAAAAATACTATATATTTTTTTTTTCTTTCTTTTTTGAAGATTTTAGTAAGCCTTTCGACATCCAGGGGCTTTGAAGTGATTTGGTTTTTATAATTATTTTTTTTCGGAAACACTACTTTTTTTTTTTTAATTTTAATTCATCTCCTCAAGGCCGAGAAGGCCACTACAGACGAAGAGGCTACTTATTTGTGGCTATTACCCTCTCTCTACTCTATAACTCCGAAACACGAACCTTGACGAACAAGGCCACTGCGCGGAGAAACGAGTTGAGCGCGGTACTACCAGGGACGTGGTGGGGATCGAACTCGGAACCACTCGTTTATGAAGCGAGCGCTCTACCACTACACCACTACCGCATATAAACTTCATATTGCTTGTAAAATTGATCAAGAAACAAATTATAAGCATTGTTACCATCACAACAAATATCACAAGAAACAAATTACAAGCATTGTTAGCATCACTAGATTGCAAAATCCAATTCCAATCAACATAATTTTTCAAACAGTTTTTAAAATGCTTTAAGGAGTTTTCATTGACCTGTCGCTAAAATTTTGTGGATTTTGAGGCAATATTGTTAATTAAAATGTTATTGGTAGCTAAAAATGTAGGAAAATAATCCGATAAATTGAATTATACCTGTGTAAAGAGGAATATTATAAAAATTGTTAGCTATGATGTTATCAAGAAGGGTAGAAGACTTTTTTGTAACTCTTGTTGGTTTTTTATTGTTGAAATAAAGTTATTTTCTAGAAGAGTTTTTATAAAGTTCTTAGCATTATCATTAGAAGCATAGTTGATTAGATTGATGTTAAAATCCCCGACCAAATAAATATGTTTCCTCGAATTTTTAATTTTGTTTAGAAATGTTTTAAGATAAGTTTTAAATATTTTTATATTACCAGATGGTGGTCTATAAATACTATTCATAAATATGTTTTTTTCATTTTTATTTACTAATTCAATGCATAATGATTTACAACCTGTTTCATTAACACAGAGGTCGTTACATAAAATAAAATCGAGTTGTGGATAAAAATAGTGACGCCTCCAACACTTATGAAATAAAAAAATAATTTGAAAGTAGTAATTTGTCAATTACTACTTTCTTGTTCTTTGGGTCTTTCTTTTTTTAATTACTTTGTTACTTTTTTAGGCTAAAGAGTTACAATGTGATCCTTTATGTTAAACATTTTTATGAGTATGAAACATACTCATAAAAATGTTTAACATAAAGGATCACAATACGTGTGAAAATAGAAGTAGTAGGTTAAGTTGGCCAATTTTTATTTTAATTTTAATACTTTAATTTGGTATTTTTTCATTTTAATTTGGCAACTTTCACTATAATTTGTAAAGTGAAAATTGCCAAATTAAAATGAAAAAATGCTAA